CGGCCGGCTGAGCTGCTTGCGTAGCCTCTTGCTTCGCTGCAGGTACTTGCCAAATGGCTGAGCTAATTGCTCAGCAGGCAGCAAACCTTGAGATAAGATGAGAGCGTTTAATACAAATTATTACTGCAGTGTAACTTATAATCAGGGTTAACAATATCAAGATGGGAAGCTTTGAACAAACATGACACACCGATGGATTTACATAAATGATAGTAATATCGTGACCCAGTAGTGTTTTCCCATGTGCACACCTTTCACGTTCAGACACTAGCTCACAGTTAAGTTGTAGGGAGCATCTGCTTAAAAGGAACCAAAGATCTTTTTCATGGCAATGTTCCTGAAAATTATTTTTATTCCACTAAAACTTCTTGAAACTTAGGTTAAAATGAAACAAGAACCCCTACAACTAATTAAATAGAGATTTAATTCATGTAAAGCTAGAAATGAGGTTTTCTGTTCCTGAGCTGATTTTCTAGCTTAGAGGTGTGCAAGTGTTGCTGCACAGTGAAGAAAATACTCTTTTATAGAAATTTAGTAAATTGGGGATTGGGGGGGGGGGGATTAAATTAGAGGCATTTTTAATCTCAGACTGCAAAAATCTGAGCCTCAGTGAGACTGATTAATTCCATTTGTCCCAAGGATTGTCACAAAGCTTGGAATATGTCTACTAACTTTATATACAAATGCTATTTTGCGTTACTAGGTTTCTCGCACTAGAAAAGTGAAAAAGAAATCTGTTAACATAAATGTGTGAAAACAATGGAAATAGATCTAGGAACAACCTGAACTAGACAATGTGTCAAATCTGCTTCTGTCCTATCAACAAATTTAACTGTAACTCAACTTGCTTCACTGAGGTTATTTCTGCTTAACACAGATGTAAATGAAAGATCAAAGGCCTCATTATACACAATCCCATATTTTTCTGGCCTCACTCCCATTTTTGTCAAGAGAAAATATTTCAGCTATCCTTCATGCCTTAAGGATAAGTAGTTTCCATGGTAATTAAGGTTTGGGGGATTTAGTTGAAAATATGTTAACCGAGAACTTCCTGTAACTTTCTCTTGCTAGCTGATTCAAGTATCAGCGATTGCAAGGGTTTCTCTAAACATCATTAGCAGAGATTTTCATCACTGCTGTTAGCAGAGCTAACAGGGAGTCCTAAGTTATTTGTAGTTTCGGTTTGCAGTAGTGTTTTTGTTGGGATCATTGCAAACTGATGTGCAGCATAGTTGTATGAAGCTCACTGAGTGCTTACGTGTGGAAAAAACACATTATCTTTCTTCCTCCCAGCAAGAGGGAAGACAACCTCCTAATATTATTCAAAGACTTTTCCTCCAAGGACTCACAGGAACAAAATAATGATACACAATAATACAAGAACTTCCTGGGGCAGGGGAGGGGCAAGAAAAAGACACCAGAAACACATTGTGGACTTAGTAAAAATGAGATCACTAACAAGGTACAATTACAACTTCAATAGAAGGCCCAACTAATAAATACATGCAGAGTATTAGCTTAATTTTTTCATAGGGAAGGTTCCAGGGTCTTTTGCTTATTTCAGCTATGAACTCTGTTCTGTGCAAGTAACAAACTCTGTTCTTTGCAAATAACATTTTAACCAAAATACTTTTTTTCCTCACAACTAATGAAGCATTGCCAGGAAACCATCTTGGAAGAAGCTGCTTGGTAAAAAAAAACAAAAAACCAAAACAACAAAACAAACAAACAAACAAACCTGAGTAGAAAACACCAGTAGCTTTGATTTGTGTAAACCAACAAGTTCTCCAGTGGAGAGTGACGAATGAAGACGTTTATTCCATGTCAGCACTAAGGAATTTTGGCAGAAACTTTTCTGTAAAATACCATTGACCCAGCTGAAGAAGTAGAAGCATCATTGTGAGTTGTATTGATAGAGGGCTGGAGATTTTTGGTGTTCTGTCATTTTAAACAATTGAAAAATAACTTGGTATTAAGTTGAAAGGACAAAAATTCAGCTACGGAAAGGAAATTAAGTTAGCAAATATTTATGGTAGGAGATGAGAAAAGAGGGTAAGGTGCCTCAGGATTCAAAAATTTATTAGTGAACTGTGTGGGTTTTTTTCTTTTTTAAATGCAATAACCAACATTTTGCTATTTTTCTGTTTTGTTTTTCTTAATTTCATTTCCTGAAGGTAGACAGGATGTGCTGCTTGTCGTCAAGATTCATTGTCTTGAACAAAATGTCCCAGAAAATGCACTGCTCCAAACCAAATAAACCATTGTCTATGTCAGAAGAAAGATAGGCCCTACAGGCTTCTTTCTTTCTACCTACAGAATACTGTTTTTCACTTGAAAAATAAAACAGAAAGCTGTTGTATGTTTTTAAAATCGATTAATTTTGACTGTAGTTACATTGCCTTGTTAATACGGCAAAGCAATTCCTCTCGGAATCACTGAGCCGGAATTCTTTGTGGTTCTTGTTAAAACAGATAACCACCAATTGGTAATAGTAATTTGAAGATCACAAGATTCATGAGAACGGTTTCTGTACAGTAATATCTCAGTTCTAAGGATTGTTGGTGTGTTAGTAAAGTAGAGGACAAGGGAGAAGTGACTGATTTTCCTCTAGGACAAAATCCCCCAAGTTATACTGTTGGAAACAGTATTGTCATGGATCTAAAACTGGTGAGTAGAGAGGGAAATACAAGGAACATGAGGTCCCGACAAAACATGAGTAAGAAGTGAGGTAACTGAAGGTTTCTTCAAGAACTAGCTTTGCTGAGGTCCACATTTATGGCCCTCAAAACATTCTGCAGGATCCCTAGGCCCTCTGAACTTTCTGTTGGTGGTAAAGAATATATCTAAACTGTAGAAGTTAGTGCTATGTACTGGTAGTCAATCTAAGTCAAAGAGGCTTGTACGTGTAAACAGCACAAGGCAACGCAGAGCAGAAATACGAGTTGGGGCCTTGCAATATGGTTGCGTGCTATTGCAGCAGGCATCCTTTGTTCAGCTGCCCAGGAGGGCTAACTGGCAGGAGCAGATTGCTGAACTAACAGAAGTGTACTCTTCTTATTCTTGCATTCAAAGCTAGTTCTCCCATCCCTTCATGGAGCTTTGTAGATAATGAAGTTGTACCCCAAAGGTCTGGTTTTTGTTACGCCTGTAAGCACCGCAGCCTTGAGGCTGCAGAGCAGTTAGTACAGCTTTGATCACGTCCGAGCCTTACCAGGCCCCTCAAAATTGATGTTCCTCACACTCTTGCTTGCAGCCTTTCTCTGGCAGGCATTCTCAGGGACTGTCTAACAGCACTGACTGTGTAGCAAAGTTAGTGATAGTAGCTTTCCGTAACTGGCAGTTCAAAAGTTAAAATATTCACGTTTGATACAGAAGACAGGAATTTCCAGTCTCTGGAGACTGAGAATAACATCTTTCCTTTCCATGGAACAATCAAAGCGCAAGCCTGCAGGTTTTTCAAAGGTGAGAACTTTCTTCATTCTTCCTAACTGAAGCTATTGCTGCGTGCAGAATAAGATACAGAAAATGCTGGACCAAATAGCTAGTGGCTGGGGCGCTCTCTTCCTGAAAGGAAGGAATATTAGATTCCTGGTCAGGTCTCAATATTCTCCCTGTAGTTTACTTTCAAAAGTTACACAGGAGAGCAGAAACAAGCTGTAGAGAATGGATTGTAACCAGGTTCAGTTCTAGGTGTGTGCCCTCATCACTGGGCTAAAGGATCTGGTTCCTTTTACACTCCTGGCCTGATGCTCTGTTGGGCTTTTTGTGCAGTGAAGGAAGGGTAACATGATCTCACCAGGGTGGAATATACAGATAATGGTGGGAGATGCTCTGTGTGGCAGGGGAATCTGCATTTGGGCCCACATCTCTCTAACTGAGGAAGTAGTTGAACATGGGCCACCACAATACACTGCCATATGAAAGATGGACATGTATACCATCACTTTTTGAGAGAAAGCCTGCATTGTATTTTGTAGAGAGCCTAGGCCTGTGGTGCTTGTTATGTGCTATTGTACTAAGCCATCTGGGATCTCTGATGTAGAAAAGCCTCTTGTTCATCTAGCTAGGTGTAAGCGCAAAATAAATGCTGAACTGCTTAGCTCTCTCCAGACTGTTCCCAGACTTGGGAATACCCAGAGCTGTTTCTCCAGGGGAGCATTATGTAGGGGAGCAAAGTAAAATTAGAAGGTACCTATGCAGGAACTGCATGGGTAGCTTTCAAGATCACCTGTTTGGGACTTACAGGCTTGCATTCCATAGTGGATCTTGTTTACAGTCTTTAATTTCAGTGTTTTCAGTCACCTAGGGCAGTCTCTCTAATGAATAAAATGGGGATCACGCTTAATGAAGTTGGGTATTATTTAACATTTCAGGATTAACACTAGATCTTACTAATGCCTGTCCTCATCCCAACAAACTTAACACAATTTTTT